GGAAGTTCGAAATTACGCTTGTGCACATAGCCTATAGCCTGACAAAAAGCAAGCGACTATATGGCGTGGGCGTCGCACACACGTGCAAGTTCGGAAATGCCACCTGTAATTATCTCTCGAGCAAAAGTGCTGTTTTCCCGAATATCAGGAGGACGAATGCAAATGTTTTAATACAACCGTTCAATAAACCGTAAGCTGATATAACACATTAATGTCAGTTTTAAGGGTTTTTGCTCAATTTCACCAACGACAAAATCAGAACTCCCTGTGGTGTTTCTTTCTTAAATGAATCGGCCAATTTGAACGAATCAGAGAATGATTAAATATTTGACTCACTTATTAAGAATTGCCGCCATTGGAAGTTTTGGTTTCATATAGAAAATAAAATTGTCTTTTTTTTCATTTCATATTTCTTTATTCAAAATTATAGATTTAAAACACTGATCTCGTACCATATTATTTAATGCAATAGCCAAGTAAAGCATGCTCAGTGTTTCATTGTTTAGCTTGTTGTTGCATGTGCTCATGATAGCATATGTATAAATAGTTGATGTTAAAATACCATTCTCTCTTTGTGAATTGGTAATTTTCAAGAAATCTGTTGAGTATTAAACATCTCCAGAGTGCCCCATTTTTTGGGGTTGATTTTTGCCTGGGTTGAAATGTTCTACTTCAACCCAGCTCCTCTGCTCTACAGTGCACTAACTTAATTTTTTTTGTGTGCAATTTTATAGTGTGTAATTTTTCCCTCTTTGAGCACCCATCCCTACAAAATGTCTGTGAATGGGCTTTTTTTAAAAGCACTATTATATGTGGTCCTTGGTATATCCTTGGTTCTCCGTGATATGAAATCGATACACTCCTAATTTCTCAACTTCTCTTGAGTGTAAATTTCAGTATGCACATTCTTTAATGTCTTTGGTACAAAAAAAACATGTTGTCACACTATATGGGTGAGTTTATCACAGCGGAACCTACCATTACAATTTATTTATTTTAACAATTGCTAGCCTAGGATAGGTTTCTCAATACTTAGGTCACTTAGTTTTTCAAAACCCTTCACACAGTTCTTACCAACGCTGAACTTGGCACAGCAGTAAATTTCCCATCTAAAATGCACTAAACCTACCAAAACACTTAATTCATGACTTAAATCAACTCATTCTTCAATAACACTAGCAAAATTTGTCTCTTATAAAAACACTAACAACTGGTAGCATTATACAATTATTTCTTCTGTTAAATTACTTTCCAAAAAGAAATGACAGCTCTCTACTGTTTAGCATTCACTGCATGTACATGGTCCATGTTTACATTACAGAACAAAATTATTCCTGAAGTGTATAGATTATAATCAAACTGTCCAGGTGTTCAGCTAAATCTGATTGTTTTGAAAACATTTTTTTTTTTTGATTTGGTAACCGTATGGTATAACTGTATAAATGTGGCTAATTGCTGTCTTATTCAGTTTTGTTAGGATTTGAACTTTAAAAAAAAATTGTGACTGTATCATTCAAATTACACAAAGCAATGATAAATGATCCACAGTTTAGCCCACCTAGACTGATGTTGTGTTCACTGTGAAGTCTTTTGAAAAGTGACCAAAGTATTAAGTGCTAGCGACTAAAAAAAAAAAAAAATACTAGAACTAGCATAGCCTATATAAAATACATACAAAACACAAACAACAAAATGAATGAAATGTTAAAGGTAATAGTTTTTGGCGACATATAATTAATCACTTGTGTGACATTACAACATAAAACACATAACAGCATGTGCCAACCTGATGTTTATGAACAAAACCCTTATTCTGGGAACTGTTTTTCAACTCTTATCTGAATGCATGCTAGTGTAGTTTCATTGTTTCCACTTGTTAATACTGTAATGTTTGGACACATTGTCCATGTCATATGAAAGTCTGAAACTGAGTATAAGAGGGATTAAAAACAAAAGCGTAAAGGAACTAATTAAATACAAGGTTCCCACATTTTTTAATCAGTTGATTTCCACTTGTTACCCAAGTTATAGCAAAAATATGACAATAATGTAATTATTTTAACATCCTGATAAAACAAAAAACAAAAACGCATACAAAACCACTGCTAGAGAAACACAAGTATACTGACAAACATTTTCTCCCCAAACTTCTGATAAACAGCACTGCTCATTTGATATCTTGTTCTCACTGCAGGGACACTTTTCACAGAACTGAGCTTTGATTTGCTCAGTTCTCACACAAACATTCACTTTTTTTTTCTTGTGTTGTTGCAATTTCTGCTGTGTGTATATATATATAGCTACAGTATCCTTACAGTAACATCATAATAAAAAATGATATAACACTATATAAAGATGTGGAGTAAATCCACAGGAGATATTCATGTTAAAGATATAGTGGTTGTAGTGTCACAGCAGAATAACTGCTCTTCTCTGTCTCTGCAGCTAACAGCCTGTGGGTGTCTGAGTGTGCAAACCTCCAGCACTCTTACGTACGTCTCAAGCCATCTGGACCCCTGTTCACTGCCAAGTTACGTAAGTCTGAAAAAGAACATGGGCGTGTATCCCAAACACTGAGCTCAACTCCATCTGAGATGACATTTCACTATAAACTCCCCTTAGCACATTCATCAATAACAGTATGGAAAGAAGTCAAAAACAGAAAGCTTATGGTCAACACAATTTTTCACTTTTGTATCTGGAACCATGCGGCTGTCTTTTAAGAAAGCACTGAAAATGTGCTCTTTTAGAGCGATCAGGCACAATTTACAAGAAAATGACTAATAACGGGAAGGAGAAGGTTCACATTTAGAGATTTTGCACATTTAGTTTCATCCTCACACATGGAAATACTTCATACTTTTATTTAGTTATATACACATAAATTGGCACACAAGAATATTGAGTTGATGGGCTTTAATCGATTACAAAAATCACTATATTTATGTTAAAATAGAAATATTTGTCATCTCTCTGTGCTGTTTGCAGTGATGTGCTTTCAGACGGTGCTTTTAAACTAAGCCCTCTGAACGTCACATTTTGCCAGGTATTATTGTAGGGTAGAGTGAGGGATTTGCTCACCTGGCTCTACCCTGCTTTAAAGAACCTCCATCTGATTCAATTTCATGATGGAGGTATCACAATGGAGTCAATGACTTTAGGTCCTGCAAAATGGAAAACTGTTTTAGTAGCAGGAGAGAAAAAAGATCAGTGATTGTCAAATAGTAGCTTATACACATTTCGAATAACATCACAAAATGGCACAATATATTTAGCATAAACATTTATAGAGCACCCAGATTAATACTATAATGTTTGGACATTGTCCATGTCATATGAAAGTCTTAAACTGGGTATAAGAAGGATCAGTAACAAAAGCGGAATGAGGAACTAATTAAATACAGGGTTCCCACATTTTTTTGATGTTTCAGGTACCAACATACACTAGTTATGTTTGGGTTAGTTCACCCAAAAATGAAAATTCTTTCAATAATTACTCACCCTCATGTCGTTCCAAACCCATAAGACTCGTTTTTCATTTTTCATTTTATTGTTTATTTTTACATGAAAAATCTGAGATATTCTGTCCCTTCATTGACAGCTACGCAACTACTAATTTGACGCGTAAAGTGTTTGTAAAACTAATCCAGATGAATTGAGCGGTTTAGTCCAAATTTTCTGAAGAGACAAATTTGCTTTATATGATGAACAGATTGAATTTAGGCTTTTGTTCACATATTCATCAACTCACACATCAGTTGTGGTAAACGAAAGCTCAAGCACGTTCGCTTGAGCTTCAGTTTATGTTTACTGATCAATGTTTAAATGTGAATAAAAGCTTAAATTAAATCTTATCGAGTCGCTTCAGATAATTTGGACACTAAATTCATAGTCATAGTTTTACCATCTCTTTATGAACTTTTTGAAGCGTCAAAGTAGTAGTTGTGTAGCTGTCAATGGAAGGACAGAAATCTCTCATTTCATCAAAAAGATCTTCATTTGTATTCTGAAGATGAACGAAAGTCTTTCGGGTTTGAAACGACATGAGGATGAGTAATGACAATTTTCATTTTTGGGTGAACTGTCCCTTTAAATTGTGCAAATGTCCCTCCACCAGTATGGTAAAAATAAAGCTGCATTTTTACCTAGTGAAATATTTTCTCACATGACTAAATTGTACCATATTTTTTTAAGGCTGGAAATCACAACTTTAAAATTTCCTCTATTTCAGGCTTTCCATTATTGTGGGAACCTTGTAAATAAAATAAGGAAAAAATGAAATGTAAAAATGTTTTTATTAAGCATGCAGTCGATGAAGCACTTCATACACTTAACAAATAATAACCAATTGATTAGCATCATTCACTACACAATATTTAAAACAAACAAAAAAGTCAAACTCTTCATGAGGTTATTAGATATGTCTAGTACTGCATGTGAGTCAGGGCTGACTGATTCTCATAGGGGAAAATGTATTTTAAAAAAAAAGTTAAACCTAGACTTCCCAGAGACTTGCACAAATTAAAAATAACCTTAAACTGTCACATGAAATAAATACAAAGCAACTTCTCAATTTTCACTCTTTCTGTTCAGTGCCACACTTTCATTTTTCCTCAAAATATGATTGTAATGAATTCCCTTTTTGAACGTGACCTCACTGTAAAACACCATGAACCCACCTCAGGCCATTCAAAAAATAAATCAGTTTCAGAGACATCAGTCAGCCCCAGTACTGCCTACCAAAACACTGCTATGCTGTGGAATAGGCAAGGTTATGAAATATGGAAATACAGACAACAATGTACCCACTCCAAATCTAGCTTATGCACATCCACGACTTCAAACGCTGTATCCTTCATTCAAGGTAAAAGTAAACATGTTATTGGCTTTTATTTATATAATTTTAGTTCTCTAATAGTTTTCTCAGTCCTTGGTGCAAAAGTGTGGTCTGTAACATCTGGATGTTCATCTTCATATTGCCAGCACTCGTCTATGAGCACGGCCTGTTATTAGCATGGTTTGTATGCACACATGCACTCTTCTGCAGTGTAAGATTAGCGCTGGTGGGCGTTGAGAGGTGGAGGAGAGACAGAGACAGAGGACACGCTCACTCAGTGTAGTGCATGATGGACTCAACGTAGTTTCCAGGGAAGAGTCCCGTAGTGGCGCTCATCACGCCTTCATACCAACCGTCATCATTCTTTTTAATCACATAGATGATGGCCCCCTCATGGAAAGACAATTCATCTTCCTTGTCTTGCATGTAGTCATAGATTGCCACCACTAAACGCAGGAAAAACAAGAGACCGGCAAGTTACTAATGACCCATGCAGAAATTGTGCCCATCATTCACAGTTCTACACATTCCCACCACTTGTGTGTTTGTTCATTTTGTCAGCTTTTTAGTTATCATATTTAGCCAACCTTGTCCTGTTTTTCTTTAAATAAAAACTTCACAGAATCACAACGATTGTTTTCATTTAAGAAATCTATTTTTACATTTCATCAGGATTACTGCACTTTCACCTATAGGCACAAATCAAGAGAATGTCAACCCATATGCATGGTTTATTTTCCTCGTCTAGTTTCCTGATTTATTATAGGCTATGCCATAAATGAACACACTGTCTACACTATGAGAACTAGTCAAACAATAAACTTCTCAGAAATTAATTCCATTAATCCAATAATTCCAAACTAATGTTTTTCTATTAAAACAACAGGAAAAGACTATTTTCACACAGAGGTGCAGTTATTACGCAAATATAGTCGAGATCCATGTTTGGATGTATTACAGTTCAGCACTGAGAAGGTTTGATCACAGATTTAATCGCAGCAAACAGCACAAGTGGCTCGTGAAGAAACACAGACTGGCTGTATGACAGAATATCTAAAATGGAGATCGCTGAACTCCAGCTTACTCGTTTGTTGGTGTTTTCAGATCATCTGCACTTCTTCCGCAGTCTTAGTCATAGAAAAAAAGGTCGTCAACAAGCTTTTTTTTCATCATAGATTTCATTAACGAAATTAACACTAGTGTGTTTATTATATTTTTTTACTAATTTAATGATGCTTTCAGTTCTTTTACAAATCATGGTAATGTCAACACTGAGCACAAGGCCCCTTTATAACAAGTGTCTTTGAATAGCGTATACTAACATTTAAAAATCATTTGTTACAATGCACATTTTGTTCTATTTAAAAAATACCTGCTTAGAATTATAGCTGTAATTATTTTCTGTAATTACATCTATAATTAGACTGCAGACCCTTCCTTTACTTATCCTCAACCCACTAGACCAGTATCCCACCTCAATAGCAGCACAAGTGTTTTGCAATACAACATGAACACAATAAGTACATTTTACCTAACAATTTCTTTTTTTTTAATGCAAGCAAAACATGAACACAATAAGTACATTTTACCTAACAATTTCTTTTTTTTTTAATGCAAGCACAAAAGACACAATTTTAAATATAAAGTTTAACCGAGCACATTAAAATGTCTTTATGAACATCACTGTGAACTATGCTGTTATGCCCTAGTTAGCCAATAATATTGTGAGATTAATCTAACCAGCATCTTCAAAATATTTTCAGTGTACCTTTCTCCAGATAAGTTTGTGGAGCCCAGGGTGGGTCTTCTTCAGCGTAAGGGTCACTGTACTCCACCACAGAAGACTCTCCTTCCTCGTCTTCAGGAGGAGCTGGATTTTGTGTCTCAAACACCGGCTCTTCTGAAGGGGGGGGTGGGGGAGGCGCATCTGAAACTGAGTGAGAGAGTAGAGAAATGAACAGGAGACACACGACTCCAGATGAGAAGGCCATGCAAGCTCATGGATCCATGCAGAGAGAGCAAAAAGTCAGTTATATGGATGGTTTACTGTGAAAAAGAAACAGTGATGAAAGTTACACTCCTAATATTTTCAGATAGACAGATGCATACACACATGAATGCACCTGTTATTCAGTGATTTACTCATCTGCCACAAAGTTGTCAGCTTGAGGGCTTTTTCTTAGGAAATATTGATATTAATTTAATAAAATGTAGATTTGTAATCAATTGACTAACCTAAAACAAGTATTATAGGTAGTGGTCGGCCGATATATCAGCCAATACATTTTTCTGATTGGCCGATGTGTTGAGAACACCAGCGCCTGAGAAGAGAACGTCTTCATTAGTTTACGGTCTCTGTCAGTGATATCTAACACTTTGTTAGACAGAACTGGTAAGCAAAGAAGGTAAATGGTATGCGAAAAAGTAAAGTGTTTGCTTTTATATTATTTGTAACAGAAAAGGCAAACAATCAGGCTAACAAATCTTTAAACAAATCTCTAATAAACATTTAATTTCACAAACCTTGCAATTTAATCGAATCCAGCTGTGTTTGAAAAACGTTAAATCCATTTTAAAATATGCTGTTCTATATCCAGTTGCCCACTGTGTCATATATTCATATCGTTTTCACTGTGTGCTCTATGTAAAATTAGCGTTACCTTGTTTATTTGAAAAAATATGATTACCAGTGCACACGAAATTACCAGATTACTGAGTGCCCTGTTACTGTGTTTACTTCCTTTTTATTCACATATTCATATATTTTTAAACAATTACTTTATTTGTGAAAAATACTGTAATAGGATTGCAGATTCAAGTTGTTGCCATCTAAAGTATAAGCATGTTTATTTTAAAGATTTTTTCTCTAATTTATTTATAATTTATTAAATATTGATTAAAATAAATAAAGTATATATATATCAGCTTTATATCTGCCACCCTGCTCTCCAAGATATCGGCATTGGCAATCAAAAAACAATATCGACCGACCACTAATTATAGATATATTTTCATGCTTTTTAGACAAGCTGCTTTGAGCTGAATGTGTGTATTTGTGTGTCTCTGAATGCTGGAGGGTCTCATTGGAGAAGCTCAAAGCCACTTACTGGTTTCCTGTACGCGAGCCACAAAACCCGTCAGTGGAAGCTGGGGTGTGATCTGCAGTATGGAGGGGGGAGGGGGGGCCACTGAGGCTAGTCCACAAGACCACAAAAAAGCACAGAGGAGGGGGAGGGGTGTGAGCAATGAACCAAGATAAAGAAAGTGAATGTGTAAGGAAAAAACAGAAGACAGTAGATAGTTAGTTGAGTGTGCAAACACTGTCTGACAAACAGGAAGTGGTTACCTCATAGCAGAAAGGATGAAAGGTGGATCTACACCAGCTAGAGAGTTTCAAACACTAACCCATTTATACATTTAAGTAACACTCTAACGATGTTAATACAACCATGTATCATTAAAGGTGAAGTATGTTATTTCAAACAACCTTGCAAACGCCTCTTTGTGATTTGAGTTGGGTGAGGTGCAACGGGCCAAATACAGCTCATAAGGGTGCTTGTGATGGCATGTTTGCTGCCTTTGACACAGTTAACCACCAGATCCTCCTGTCAATCCTAAAGATGAAGGGCATCTCGGGATCCGCAGTCCAATGGTTCAAGTCTTACCTCTCAGATAGGTCCTTTTTAGGGTGTCGTGGAGGGGCGTGGTGTCTAAGACCCAACATCTAGCTACTGGGGTGCCTCAGGGCTCAGTGCTTAGACCACTTCTCTTTTCCATCTACGTGACATCACTAGGATCTGTGATTCAGAGACATGGCTTTTCCTATCACTGCTATGCTGATGACACACAACTCTACCTCTCATTCCAGCCTGACGATCCCACGGTAGCTGCTCGCATCTCAGCCTGTCTGACAGACATCTCTGGCTGGATGAAGGACCACCACCTTCAACTAAATCTTGCGGAGACAGAGCTACTTGTGGTCCCGGCCAACCCAACACTTCATCACAACTTCTCCATTTAGCTAGGCTCATCATCCATAACTCCATCAATGTCAGCCAGGAATCTTGGGGTTGTAATTAATGATCAATTGAACTGCACAGACCACATTGCTAGAACTGCCCGGTCATGTAGATTTGCCTTGTACAACATCAGGAGGATCAGGCCCTTCCTAACAGAGCATGCTACTCAACTCCTTGTTCAAGCGCTTGTTCTATCCAGACTGGACTATTGTAATGCTCTCCTGGCTGGTCTTCCAGCTTGCTCTGTCAAACCTCTGCAACTGATCCAGATTGCTGCAGCCAGAGTGGTCTTTAATGAGCCAAAGAGAGCACACGTCACTCCTCTCCTCACAAAACTGCACTGGTTGCCAGTTGCCGCTCGCATTAAATTCAAGTCACTGACGTTGGCCTACAGAACAACCACTGGCACTGCTCCCTTTTACCTAAACTCATTACTTCAGACTTATGTGCCACCCAGAAACTTGCGCTCTACAAGCGAATGTCATCTTGTGGTACCATCTCAAAGAGGCACAAAATCTCTTTCTCGGACCTTTACCATGTCTGTTCCCTGCTGGTGGAATGATCTGCCCAACTCAACCAGAGCTGGGAGTCAGTAGCCACTTTCAAGAAACAGCTGAAGACACTTATTTTTCGGCAGCACTTGATCCAGTAACACTAACACTTTCTCTTCTATTCTATCTAAAAAAACAATAAAAAAAAAAACTCATGGACTGCGTTAGATGAAATTGAGAGGGGTCATAGCACTTGCATCTTGTTGTCCTACTGTTAGTTTAACTGCTTCTATTGTTCTCATTTGTAAGTCGCTTCGGATAAAAGCGTCTGCTAAATGAATAAATGAAAATGTCTCAACAGGTAGGCTACTTTCAATAATATACTTTCCAGCATATTAAGAATACTTTTAGATGTGTTGCGGTGTGTCATGAGTAAGCAATTTAGATTAACACTCTGTCTATAGCAAACTTAAGCGTCTCGCTTATAATAAACTCATCCAACACATCTGCACTGTGTGCAGTTTTTGACATGATGTGCCACAACTGTATAAGACTACACTGGACACAAAGAAAACATTATAAACTGGTTCATTTGTCAATCAGTATGATGCTGATGCTGTGTGGTATTGGAGGGTCCATTTGTAGTGTTGCATCACAATGCCCCAATTTTTTTCTTCATGACCCTTTAATCTTTGAAAGTTTAAATGGAGTGAATTTTGGCTTGCACTTCTATAACCGAATGTCTATGTAACACATCATCCATGATCCCACAACCTAGACACCCTCTGGCCACGCCCCTAACTCTTGCTATAGGTTGAGCTGGAAAGAGATTGACAGATCTGAGTGGACTGCTCTTATTGGTTAGATAGTGCCTGATAGGCTCAATGTTTACACTTTTGAGGGAGATAAACCTATGATTGGCTTAATAGTAGTCAATGAACTATAAACTATAAATTACATAAGAGAATGTAATTTAACAGAAAAATCATACATTCTTCACCTTTAAAAACAATGACAGAAATATTACTACAGAAAAAAATTAATGCGCAGAAATATGATGGTGTCAAATTCAAATGTTAAAAGAAAGTAAAATGCAGATGGGGGGGGGGGGGGGGGGGGGGGGACTATGAGGTATTCATAATATCAAAGAACAAATTAAACTGCCTTTGACGAATAAGCAGAACTGGGTGTTTTGACATCCTTTCTGGGACGTGAGGTATGAATAGTGAGAGCGGTACCTTGGTTCTGATTGTAATAGGGCCCTCCATTCTGTTGGCTGGATGGCATGGACGTCTGACCCATGATTGAGGGCGGCCGGTGATACGGCAGCGAACCTCCCACTGTTGGTGAGATCTGTCTGGGGACGGGCCTGTTCATGCTGTAGAACTGAGGAACACCTGCACGAACAACACACAGTCATGAGACTGTGACTGCAGACTGATCATGTTCATTTCTGAGAAAAACACCACCATAATTCCTTAAGAGTTAAAAGTAAATGAGAAGAATGTTAGTCAGACCTTTTAAGGACAAGCATTTTTCGATAAAGATCAAATGGATCAATGGTACAAAAGCAAGCGTGAAAGTCATGAAAATGTCATGATCTAAACTAAAGAGCTTTTCACACTAGCCACTGGTTTCATAGACAAGGCTTAAGCCTAGTAGTCCCAGACTAACATGCATGTTTGAGCTGTTTTAACAGAAAGAAACTTGCACTGACATTTCTTAAAATATGTCAGTGCCATTGCAGTGATGCACACCAGCTTTCTTTGAAAGGATGTTTTTACATATTTTTTTTTTTTTATAAAGGCATGTTTAAAAAAGATACTTAAATATCCTAATTAAACTAGGGCCTAATACTGGCTTAAGTCCTGTTTGTGAAACCAGGCCTATATCATGTTGGTGTGACAGACATTTTCTGCTTGACAATGGGCCCTCGAGTACAGTTTCACAAGGACAGTTCACAATCATTATTTATACGTTTTGGAAATGCTGTATAAGTTTTGGTTACACTGATTGTGTTAGGGGTCAAATTGACAGCGAGGTAAAAAACAAACATTTATGTCAAACACTAAAATATAAAATGTATGAGGTTTCTTTTTCTACTTGAGTTTTAGTCACAAAAAAAATCTGTGAAAGGATTTTTTTTTTTTACATAAAATTGTTACTTCTAGCCAAATTACAGGGAAACCAATGAGGGTCCACCGCAACCAATTGACCCCCACCACAACAGAGTTTCCAGATTTTTAACACAAAAGACGCAAAATGTGTACTTATATACAACAGTTCTTTAACCCTTCTCTGTCAGCAAAAATAGCTCCAAAAAGATCTCACAGCCTATATCTTTGTGGGTCATCAAACAACAGAGAAACGTGCTGCTAGTAAAAGTCACATTGGTACTTTTGTTGATGACTCAAATGTACCAATTTAGAATTGTAACAAACAAACAATGAAAACAGCTTGAGAGACTCATGAGGAAACAATATGAGCAGGACACAAAGACCAAAAATTCACCACAGAATAGCATGATGTCTCAGCAGGTGTGGAATGACACGAGGGTAGAAGGTGTGACTGATGGACTGGAGATGATTCGGACAGTGGCGGACTCACCTGTCCCAGGGTCGGTGTCGGATGTAGCACTAGCTGCAGCTGTAGTGAGGGGTTGCTGGGAGGTAGGAGAGCTTTTATCTGGGGTCAGAAAGCTCTCAGTGGAGTCGAGAGATTCAGGGATTGAGGGTTGTGTGGGGGTTAAGTTAGAGGAAGTGAAAGAAGGCTGAGTGGAGTTAGTTGGAGCTGAAGGTGTGCTGGCACTAACAGCTTGAGGGTAAAACGAGGAGAGAGGAAGGAAACCAAATGAGAAATGCTTTTGCATTTCACATAAAGGGAGGTAATGTGGGGTCATGATTTAAGAAGCTGAGCATAAAATCACAATTCTGCTTTTCTGAAGGCTATTTATATCAGGGCTGTCCAATCCTGCTCCTTGAGGGCCACCTTCCAGCACATTTTAGCTCCAGCCCCAATTAAACACTTTAACCCTCTGGGGTCGGCAATCGCGCCGGCGCGATTGTCTCGCTTTTTTTCTTATCAGTGCAAAAGAGACTCAAATAACTCCGTCGATTTTTGTCATACAGGCAAGTGTTATACATCATTCGATCCTGATAAGTTTCTATTTTTTTGTGTGTATACTCACAATAAAAACAAAGTGTTGTGCTTTTCGACAAATAAAGAAAAATAAACATGATGCACGTTCTGCATTCTCTCTGTCAGTGAAGTCCATTCTGAAACGCGTCCGAAAATTAACTATAACTCTGCAAATACTCAGTCAAACAGGTATACAGGCACACAGGCATGAAGCCTGAATTATCTTCTTTTAAAATGAAGTAATTTATATAAAAAACTAATTTTCTCATTTTATGTAATCTGTACGAAAAGAGAGAGATGATAGTCGTTCTCGTCTCAGGTCATTAAAGTTAATTTGACCACGCCCACGGAGCGCACGCTCTATTCAAACACAAATGCTCTGAGGCGATCCACGCCCACATCAGCTGGATAACCCACCGAAAGAGACTCATTTACGACGCTGTGAGGATCGTGATCTTAATAATAATCCTGGAAAAAATTACCTCAGAAGTGCAGGTAGTTTCATTTGGAGGAGCAACGGATCCAGCTGAGGAATAGGTACATTCTTTATTTTCAAGTACTTTGTTCTAATCGCGATATGAAATAGTGTCTGTAAACAAAAAGACTGTTTGAATATGAATCGCATTTTTGTGTGTGAATGAATGAACAGCTTTTACCTAACTATATTCCAATACTGAGATGAGTAAAAATCGACTGAAATATGTTGAAATCAAATATTTTTGTATAAGCAACGTATTAAACTGCAAATTAACATTTATATGCCCTAATCATAAAAACGATGTTACATATGAAAGACAAGATGTTGTTTTTACTGTAAAATACTGCCACATCAAATAAGCTTGTTTGCTAAGATGTTATTATAGTGTTTGTTCGATTGTAGGCTATATTCAAACTAATTAATCCGCAACTGTGAAATATGTATGATAAAATGTATACTTTAGTTTATACAAAGAAAGATTACATTTGAAATATAGTTAAAATTAATTGTTGTTGTAATTGTAACCTTTTTATTAAAATAGCAAAACTATATGTACATATAAATAAATCTTAGGTAAATCTTAAAAGCTCAATATAAGCCTCCTTTAAATTATTTGTATTGTGTTTTATTAGTGACACATTTGGGATATATTCCCAAACTTTCTGTAAATACAGCATGAGAATTAACTGCACAATTACTAGAAATGTTTACATTTGATATTATACAATTTGCAAGCACAATTTGAAAAAATAAATAAATAATTGGAACTGTGAACCAATTTTGTATTATATAGGCCTATATATATATATATATTGTCATTGCATTCTTGTGGCTCAGTGACACACCTGAATGAAAGGCTCATTAGTATGCAGCCTCATTATGCACTCATTATGCGGGCCCATTGTCTTCTCAGGTGTGAATCACAGCAGGTCACACCCCTGCGCATGTTGCCTTTCCAAACAAAAAGTGTCATTTTTAAATTTAAACCAATCTATTGTTTTATCGAATAATTAGGCAGGATGATTTTCAGATCATTTTGAAGAAAAAACTCTAGGCGACAACATCCATTAGTCAAAAGTCTTGTGGACACATATTTAGTATGTGTTTTGTGGCCTTATTTCAGAAACTTTAAGTTTTAGTTTTTTCAATAACCACGCATAAACAATATTCTCTCAAAAATACAAACATGTATGTAGTGAATTCTCTCCCTTTAAGTGTTAAGTTGACTGTGTGTGACGTTTTAAGTTGCGTTGTACGCAAATAACGTAGCGCAGCGTTCTCAGTACGCACGGACTCAGTGTAATTGCCTATTCACTAAGCTACTTAAGTTGAGCGATCATATCGCGTGAACACATTCACATGTTCAGTGTTTATGTGCAAGATAAAGTTCGTGACAAAAAACTACCTCAAGTACACTATTATGTGTATGTTCACTCTTGTGCAATAAACAGCTAAACTCTATCTGATGACTCCCTGACCAGAGTTCTGCAGCGGTCAATAATATAATCCACCAGTTTTCAGTGGGGCAATCCCCAACAATGTACATACATGTTGCTCACATATTATGGTAGCCCTGTTTGTGCTAAATAGAGTGCAATTACCTTTGCCAGTAATTTGTTTATAAGCTACTGAAAAAAGCACAAATGTCAGAGTATGTCAAAACATCTCAAGGACCCCAAAAACACCTTAGACCCCAGAGGGTTAACCAGTTAATCAAGGTGGATCACTAGAAACACCCAGACAGGTGTGTTGCAGCTAAAGTCTGCAGGACAGTGGCATTTCAGGAGCGGGATTGAACAACCCTGATGTTGCTGTTGAATTTTTTTAATGTTCATTTATAGCCTTATTCAGAAAATTCCTTGTTTCAGTCGTTTGAGAGGAAATACAATAGAAACTGCTGAAATACACCAATTATTTATCAACAGACTAGATTTTGAATGCAAGTTTTTCAGTGGAACTATAACTTAACTCCTTTTGTATTCCACAAAAAAAAAATCCATATGAACATTTTTATCTTTTGCATGAAGAGTTTTTTTTTTTAGTATTTGATCTTGGATATAAAGTCAGATGTTAACAAGATCATATCACACTTCTTAAGCAAGAACTTATTCTAAATTATCAAAAAAGAAATGATTGCAGCCAGAGAATGTAATTGTTAAGTGAAGTCAGAGAGGAGATGAAGATGTCACCTGGGAAGGCGCTGGGTGGAGAGGGTGTGGGCACAGCAATGGGAACACCCACACTTCCACTCCCGCTGTTTTCACGACTGCTACTGCGGCTACTGGGATAACTGCCGCCACTGCTCCCACTGCTGAACAGATTACACACCACGTGTACATGTGCCTCATGTTATACACACTCATGTCATGTAAGCGCTCTCAAACACACACACACACACAGAGAGAGAGAGAGAGAGAGATCTCCATACATGGACCAACAGCTCACACATGACAAAAACACACTTAGACACTGAACCAGCCCATGCTATGTTGCTATGACATAAAGAGCATGAGATGGCAGCATTTGTGAAACAGAATGAACAGAGAAGCAACAGCAGAGACTTTGTGGCCAGAAAGAAGTGCACTCACTAGCCTGCGCTCAATACTGAAAAGACAAAAGCTGAGCACACAGACTGCATGAAATAATGTGCTTGAGATGCAGAGAAAAGAGCAAGAAGAAATACACAAGTCAATCAGTAATGAGACAAAGGACTTTGAGTGAGATACTTTTTTGTAAGAGAGATGAAAACCAATGCCAGGTGGATATAGAGCTGAAGCAGCTGAAGAAAAGAATCAATTGTCTGTCTTTATAATCTAGCAGCACTAATTATTTTGTTAAATGTTGGCATGAAATGGATATTCACCCGTCTATTTTTGAAATGCATATTATTGTTCTGACTGCTAACAACTGATTTTTTTTTTTACCTCATTATTCATCTAAATGTCATGATCTTTCAGTGAAACAACTGACTTCTCTCAGGTAATGGGTAATGTAATGTACTGTACTTCTCCAATCTTTAATCCTCTTAAATCGCCCTTAGTATATCAGGATCTTAAGAAAGGGGGAAGTTCTTTTTCGTTCTTTGCTTAGAGCAGTGGTTTTCAATCGTGCTCCTGGAAACCCACTGCTCTGCACATTTTGTATGCATCTCTTATATAATAATAATAATGATAATTCTTTACATTTATATAGCGCTTTTTCTGGGACGTCAAAGCGCTTCACATATGGAAGGGGGGAATCTCCTCAACCACCACCAATGTGCAGCATCCACCTGGATGATGCGACGGCAGCCATATTGCGCCAGAACGCCCACCACACACCAGCTTACTGGTGGAGAGGAGACAGAGTGATGAAGCCAATCAGTATATGGGGATGATTAGGAGGCCATGATGGACAGAGGCAAAGGGGCAAATTTGGACAGGATGTCGGGGTTACATCCCTACTCTTTTTCTTTTCCTTTATATAATCAATTGCTTTACAGCAAGCAGCTTTAAAGATTAAACGTGAAAAACAACTTCAATTTCTACTATAAAGCAGCTCTCCAGTGTGTTCATGTTTTTACTCAAGTCTGACATTAACGGACTGAACAGAAAAAAACGAATCGGAGAAGATTTCCACGACAAAGACGGCGGAGTCCCAGAGCCCATCTACACATTACATAATCGCCATGGACCAATGGTAGTTCGAAAGGGTTTACCAGCCAGAAAAGTTCACTGTTGTAGCTTATCCACATTGTGTGCACAAAATAGACACTGAACAGTCAAATCGTGCCATCGCGCTAATCACTGATTTCGGCCATCCAAAACCAAAAATATCTGTTTCGCCTGAAAATCTTCGATGCATCACTATAATTACGAGGGGAAATGGAATTAGGACAAAAACATAGGCTGGACTCAAAACCTCCATCCTTGAAGTGCTACAGCTCTAATGTGTGAAGAGCATGTGTGCTTCCATTGCAACTCCAAACTGTCTGTAGCCTCTGCAAGATTAATGCTGAACTCTAAATGTTTATCAACAACTTATCTGATGATATTAAAATGTTCTCAAATTTGAATTTAAATGTATACGATACACTCTAAACTTTAGGAGGGAACAACCATTGTCATTTGTGTCATAGTCAAGATGTTCAATAACATTTCCAAATAGCAGACAGATGGGAGAAACGGCACCAAATGCTCTTCTTCTGAGTGACAAGCAGTGATCCAGAGCATGTGGGAGGACTCCAGCATACACTCACCGCTCAGGATGAAAACCAAAGAAATGCTTAGGACTATATGCTTAGGAGGTGTTCCTGTAGCTCAAAAAAGTAGAAAAAAAAGGGCCACTAACAACAACAAGGGCAGGGGTTTGATTCCCAGAAAACACCACTATAAAAAAACACTTTGGCTAAAAGTGTCAGCCAAAAACATAAATGAAGATTTTACAGGCATCCCTGCAGATGGCACAGAGATCAAAAGAGAACAAGTGAGAGCGGTTACATAATTTCAGGCACAGAAGAAAAGGTCGGAGCTTCAAAGACCTTGTTCTGGCAATGTACTGGACCTGATCTGAAAAAATCCTCAGGAAAAAAAAAACGAAGAAAGTAAAGTTTAAGATGGGAGACATCTCGAAGAAAGCGAGGCTCTGCAGTCATTTGAGAGCATCTTCAGGCGTCTTTATCCTCCATGACTGATGATGCGTTTATGTGAGCACTGCTAACGTCACTCGCAACTGGTTGCCAAGGTTTCAGATTATGCAATTGTGCAGACAATCAGCGATGCTTGATTTAGAAGTGCTAGGGAGAAGCAATGTCTCTCAGCAAAACCAACTAATCAATGCTAGCTAATAAATACATGTTCACACAGTGACTATAAGTCAGTGGATGCAGATGGAGAGCAGTGCGAGAGACGGAGAAGAGGTAACTGTACCTGTAAGTGCGGTTCCTCTGATTAACAGATGCTGTGCGTACAGGACTTTGCTGCAGGATGGGCACTGTATTGCGTGTGGGGCTCGGGACATAGTCATTAGGCACCACAGGAGGCCTCACTGGCTCAAGTGTCCTGTAGGGGGAGTGTCTCCTGTCAAGAGAGACAGCAGTTTAACAACCTTAGGGAAACTTGATCAAACAATTACTAGCCTAGAAAAAGTCAATGTTTTCTGCCATGTTATACATAAAACGTTTTTTTTGCCTAATTTAATTGCTGTTATTCTCAAATGATATAACCAGGATAGAGTACTACGGCGAAGACTTCAGATGACGCAAACTCAGAATCAACATGCACCAATGCTACATTTTTCTAAATGTCAATCATTTGTTAACAAACAAGTATTTATTACTTCAATGAGCTATTTGTTTCTGCATTCAATTATTACATTGTTTAAATTAATAGCTTTTCCGCTAATTGTGATTTTGTATAATTATGTACCTTTCTGAAATGCATAACTAAGACAGTTACATATGATAACAGATCACTCTAAATTGTAATGTGGACTCATCATTTCAAAGCAGCTTTACAGAAAATGCATGAGTATTGTGAAAAGCGCTATACAAATAAATGTGAATTGAATTGAATATTACAAAGCAAAGCAGTTAATATTCGTAAACAAAGGTTTTAGTTTTCTTTGAGAGGCTGGGATTCCATACAGGAATTTCCAGGTAGTGCAACAATACAAATAACAAAAAATAAAGTGTGTCAGATTTGGGAAAGTGCAAATTCAAATAAAATGTTAAGTCAGTCAGTGCCTGATCTCTTCTCTGGTCTCAAAAGAGAGGAAAACAGTCATGGCTGTTTGAGGCAACCAGAACAAATGCTTACTTGCATAATTCAATAAACAATTTATTACTACTTAAAACTAGTAAACTGTCTTTTCATCACAGGAAAAACTTTATCACTTTGACCTAAAAAGGAAGGGAAAAAATATTTTTAAGTTCTCAACCTCACTTTCTATAAAAAAAAAAAAGTTTTTTGTCACAAAGCCGTGCTTCACAGGTATGGCACACATGTAACAATTAATAATAATAATTAATCAATAAAAAATGCAATAAGAAAGAAACAGAGACAGAGCATGATGCATATAAGACAGTAAAGCAACAGAAGACAAACATATATAAATAAATACAATCACAATCTCACAAAAAAATTCATCATATATATAAATAAATAAAATTCGCCTTTTTTCATGGTGACATTTTCACAATAAAGGTAATTTCACCACCAGATTCTAATTACCGTTATGTGTGCAGTCGTTTTAGTGTAATTGTAACGTAATCATAATTCATAATGATATTTTCACAAATGTAATAGATCTTTTTTTCTGTAGTACAATACTACAGACTAATTACTGTATTTTTTTAATCAGCATAAATTAAAGTACAACAAATAATACTTGAACCTTGAGTCGCCATTGGCTAGTATAAAGGAAACAAAATATATACATAAATAAAACAAAATATAAATTTCAAACACTACTAAAAAGTCAAGTAAACAGTCTAATAAAATAAGAACAAATAATCAAACTAAGCAATAGCACAAATAAACATGCAAATTAAATAAACAGTGCTTTTCAGGTTTTACAGGTAGACCTAACAGTTAGACACAGATTAGGTAGATTAAGGACAGAAGTAGCCTAATCAAATGTGAAATAACACTGTATAGTCTTCACAGTATATGCTAAACTCTCATGACGACGCAGCACTGGTCTGATTGGGACAGTGACAGTTCTGCCAATATGCCCTTCATGTGCTCTTTCTTTCTCTCATGGTGAGTAAAGCTCAGTAGGCAATGAAATTTTAGCCTATCTGTGCTAAACTTATTTTTTAACTCAATTACAGGCAACTGTAAGTGTATAATTTACAAGCCATTGTGAAATTTGGTCGCATATGCGAGTGATTTACTCTCGTTGTAAAGGGTCGTCATGAAAAATTTCAATGCAAAAAATAAAAATAAAAAAATCCTAAAAATAGTTGTTTTTTTAACACATAAATTCCTCGTTTTTTATCACACTGACACAAATATACAGTTGTGTTATGTTGCAGACCTGTCCATTAAGCGGTACACTATCTGGCCTGCAATGACCAGCCATCATGGGGCTACACAGGAAACCAAAAGAGCACCAATCTGCACAGCTAGTGTTCAGAAAACAGGGCAGGACACACCCTCTGTCCTCAGTGCTCAGAAATATCAAGCTCCGGCTTAATGAACACTCTTTAAAGATTGAGCATATCTGATCTGTTTCATAATCCGTTTCACAGTTTCTCAATTTTAGATGCCAAAGCACATTTAACACGCTTTTTTATTGGCCCAAATGTAAATCTGGCTGTTCACTGGCATAAAAGTAAACAAGGGATGTGAAGGATAATGTCATCTGTGGGGATGAGGCTGAGTTTTCCCTGAGGACAAAACAAAAGACATGACCTACACAACTCAACTAGAGACACGTCACATCATGCGGTGTGTGACCTACACTGAAAAACAGGCTTTTACTAGGAAATGAAAGCCTCACTGATGTTGCTCTAGAAGAATCATTATAGAAAAACACTAAATGATCTGATCAGACGAAAGGACCTCAGAGACCCGAGTATAAATTATAATAAACAAATTCTTCAAATGAGTGGTTCACCACCACAATCTCAGTGGCCGATTCTTTCAGTCGTGACCCCTAGAGCTACATGGTCTGTATACATACCCTATGGTGCCTTTGCCTGACATCGGCGGGCTGGGTGGTTTCTGTGTGGGAGGAGTGGTGCGAAGAAGGCTGCCCATCTTCATGTTCTGGGTGTTGACCTATGACAAAATCAACATTATAAACAGCCTTTAGCTGTGAAAGATAACATCTCAGTTTCACGGTAGAGGAGGAAAAACGGCATCAAAGTTGACAAAGGCCTAGTACAGCCGTAAAACAACAGCTACAGAGAGAAAGACAGTGATGGATAGAGAGTTATCTCATTTCGTTTTTAGAGAAAACTAAGAAAAGCTCAAACAGAACAATCAAACACACCAACTTCTGAGCCACATGCAACAATTATAAAATGGTAAGGATGAAAGAAGAAACAGGGATGATTGCCAAATGGTTGTTCAATTTTGGACCTGCAAAATTTGCTAAGTCAAACTCAAATATTATTTCTCATTAATGTATCTATAAAAAGGATTACAGAATCTCCAAATCAGCATTGACTAGTATTTTTGTATTTCATGATGGCTTAATACCTAAAACGGATCAAATACAGAATGTCAGTGTTCTCCGTCTGTATTTAGGTCATAAGTATGAACTAAGGAATCAAACCTTATTCCTTCTCCATTCATGTCACCTGATCGTAGGACAGCTGTAAAAGCCCTTACCTTGAACTTAAGCAACCACTTAAACCAAGAGCGAAGCAGAGAACAGAGGTGAGGAAGCACAGAGGTTAGTGACACATCTCAGACACAAAGAAAACCCACGTTAGATTTTGTTAGTTCAAAACAAACATGTTAGTCAGAAAAAGTTTTTCTCCAGAGGCTGGTGAGCTTGTGTCCTACCTTCACACCATGCCCAATATCGTCCAGTGCGCTGTAATCGATAGGTTTGCGAATGTACCGCACCGGCCTTTCGGGATTGGCTGGAGCAATGATTTTATGCGTGCGGGAGGTGTTCTTATTGGTGGTGAGGATGCCGATCTCCCGCCTCGCCACCTTTTCTTTATGGATGTCCACAGTCTGAATAGTAGAAAAACAAAGAAAAACGTTTAAAAAGTTTGAAGAAATTTCAGATCTACTAAAACTAAATTGGATCATTCAGGTTTGAAGTGATTCACAACTACAACCATATTCACATGCTAAAGCCAATCATAATAAAGGTCATTTACAAATTCAGAAGTTTTAAAGCTACAGTGGCAAACATTTAAATTACGGCATTGGAGCAGGAAACACCTTGAGGAAAAAGGATGACCTGAGTTTGGCCTCTTTATACTTCACATTTGTGAAAGCAGGTCACAAAACACAATATGTAAGGCCAAAATATTAAAGCGTGCGGTTGTGAGATGCCCGAAATCTCTTTCGGCGGAGTACGGTTTCATTTCACATGGCGATTTTGGGAGAGGATCGTGTCAAAAGCACTTCATGAGGAGAGCTGAATTAGATGTTGTAGTGGCGCAGTGTTTAATCGCTTTAGAGCCCATGCTGTTGACAGCTGTTAAATAAATAAAATATGACGAAACACAGAGGAGGATAAACCTCTGCTGCTGGCATCTCAAACACAGCTAAATGATTTTCAGCATTAAGTGACAGTGATATGGTAAATAGGGCTCGAGTCCAGAGCAGCAGCTGAGTCCACAGATGAGGGCAGTGGAGAGAAGACAGATCAGAGAAATGGAGACAAAGAAAGCAAGCATGAAAAGTGGAAGAGAGAAATCATCCATGAGAAATGTAAATTTACCAAATTTCTAATCTGTTTTGCATCTATCGCTGCTTAAAAAAAAGTGGACCAAGTAAAAAAAGAAAGTTAATTTCGAGCCCTGTATCAAAAGCCCTGGATCACGCAATTCTTGTTTTTACAAACGGGCAATTTTACATTTATAATGTAAATTATCAATTTAACACATCCTTGCTTTAAAGGACAACTCCAGCGCAAAATGAACCTTTGGTCTAATAACACATTGGTACCTAGTCAACCGTTCTCTGAGATTTGTTTTCATGATAATCGAATGTAAAGAGTTTTATCTCTAAAAACTGTTTAGCGTATAACGCTAGTATATAGAGTACGTACGTACAGAGTAATGACAAATAAAAATCGCTAGTTAATACCACTAACAAGGCTCAAAATAGCCCCACACTAACACGATAGCATAATGAGGGTCCCTACATGCAAACCGAAGCATTGAGAACTTTGTAAGTGTACAGACAGTTTAATAAGAAGATATTTTATAAAGACAGTCCACTTCGCGTATACAGGCAGAAGCCATCTTTGGAAAACAGTCTCGACCAGTCGAACCACGAACGCCGTGCCAAGTGAGCTGAACTGTGACTTGTAATCTCAAATGGTCCGTTGTTTCCAGAAGAAAGCACTGAGCGCATAAGAGAAGCACTGAACGCAACAGAGAAAATAATTAAAAATAAATAAAAAAAAGAGACTTTTTATTTATTTAAAATAAATAAATAAAAATAATTAAAAAGAGAGACTTAAAATACACACTAAAGAGATGGCGGATTATTCAACCGACGAACCGTTTATGTTTGATGGACGGTTTTATCTTTTCGAGCAAGAATATACTGACGAAGAGCTGCAGGAGCTCCGTGAAAGGGCTACGAGAGAGAGAGAGCTACCGGTGGTCAATGCCGCAACACAGCCTCGTACTTCGGGAAACTTTTCTTTTTTTTTTTTTTTTTTTACAACTGGTGGTGTACCTGCGGACACCGAACAGGAGTGCCTTTGTTGCACGGAGCGGGACCTGTTGAGTCGCGACAACCAAGAGACGCATTGTTTTGTACAGTCTGAAGATTTCCCCACTCTGATAAACAAGGCTGTACTTGAAACTTTTTCCATGTCCCGAAAATAAATTGGAGGCGGCGACCAGACCCGAAATCGGTGCAATTATTTCTGATATATAGAGCAAATATTGCGTGATTTTAGTTTGCATCGCCAGCTGTAAGTCTTGCTCATTGATCTGCATGAATGACCGAAAAACCTCTTGCCCTCCCTCTCCCCAGCCAGTGCAGACTTAAACAGATATAATTCATGCATTTCCATGTAATTAGATTTCACAAACGTAATTCCGATCGACCAGCTCACTTGGCACGGCATTCGTGGTTCGACTGGTCGAGACTGTTTTCCAAAGATGGCTTCTGCCTGTATACGCGAAGTGGACTGTCTTTATAAAATATCTTCTTATTAAACGGTCTGTACACTTACAAAGTTCTCAATGCTTCGGTTTGCAGGTAGGGACCCTCATTACGCTACCGTGTTAGTGTGGGGGCTATTTTGAGCCTTGTTAGTGGTATTAACTAGCGATTTTTATTTTTCATTACTCTATGCCCTATATACTAGCGTTTTACGCTAAACAGTTTTTAGAGATAAAACTCTTTACATTCAATTATCATGAAAACAAATCTCAGAGAACGGTTGACTAGGTACCAATGTGTTATTAGACCAAAGGTTCATTTTGTGCCAGAGTTGTCCTTTAAGTATTAATTTCTTTTAAAAAAAAAGTATAAAATTGTATCAAATGGGTAATTTTTTTGGGGGTACTTTTTTTTTTTTTTTATCCATAATTGAGGTGCATGTATCTGGTCCCTAGCCCTGCTGCGATAGTCGGCGTTACCGGTGTTCAGCCGCAACACCGGTTACATCACTTGCCCACCGCGGCACCGCCCCCACCGTAGTTTTGATTTTTATAGTAATAAAAATAATTTAGTTCAGTTAGAGAACAGACACTACAATTAAAAACTGAACGTGTCTGCTCAATACAGCGTGAGGCGTACGAGTCGCAGCACAGATCAGCAGATTTCCCCTCACTGACTGACAAGACGACGACAGAAGATTTGGTTTCAAAGCGAGTTTGTCATTGTACTGTTTTGTTATGTTGTTCATTAAGAATAATAATGAACCCATCATTCAAGCAATTGCCGGCCCCGAATTGGGGCTAATTTGAAAGTGAAAGTAAAATGCGCACGGGCATTCACGGTGCTTGTCCACTGGCACGGAGCGAGTGGAGCAGAGAGAGCGTTTTCAGTTCATTCCTATGGAAGCTCAACGCTCGCTCTGCTCCGCACCGCTATGAATGCCTGTGCGGCCGTGTGCATTTTAATTTCGCTTTCAAATTAGCGATTTAAAAGCGATGTGCAAAAGAGGGAAAAACTCAAACTCCCTAACATTCGCTCATATCTTTGGTAGGAACAAAACACTACAGCAGTCGCACTAGAGCCCTAGAACACTGCAGCTGAATTACAGTTCCATACAGTCTGTGGGATGCTGTTTAATTACAGAATCAATGAGATCGACCGAAAACTGACTGGACACGGGTGCTGTCTGATCAGCAAACCAAAGACAAACAAAAACAAGACAATCATTAGTAACTGTACATTAAATGTGTGGTCATTCATGAAAACAATGTTTGATCAAAGCAATAGGCCACATTACAGTGATTTAACTACCGTGAACAGGTGTGATTTCCACAACATGTAGCAGATTTACCACAGTCTAAAGATTTCTACACTTATTTTAGTGTCGGAACCATTTATAACAGAGCATTTTATAATCTTTTACCTAGTCTTGCGTAGCCAGACATTCAGACTGACGGCAGAAGGTCTGGACTCCATCGCAGCTTTCATTGGCCGAGGACGTCTGACTGACATGTAAAGCAACCAATCACAGTTTGTTTTGTTCCGCGTCATGTTTAGGGGCGTGAAAATGTAAAGTCGATATCCCTACGATAAACCGATGTGCATTTAATAAATGATCAATTCAAGAACGTCGTGCAAGTTTACTGCAACAATGACACTGTAAACTTCACATACTCTTGAAAATCCAGCGTTTAGCTGATTCTGATAAGCGCTCATTGTCACAGTTGTAAACACCACAGCTTTCTTCTTCCATGAGGGGGTTTGGCATCACGACGGCTTTGTTTCCAGGCGGACTGTTAAAGAATGTGACACACGTATCCTGGAACTCTGTAGAACTCAACCAATCAGATGACAAACTAAATTTCCAAAGTGTTTCCCATTTTGTGTGCCTTATGCATCAGACGTTCAGTCAACAATCCGTGGGCATGACGTCTGAGGCTGAGACTACCTTTTATCTAAACTAGGTAACAGTCATTTACTTCTCAACTCTTAGAGCCTTCAGTCTTACTTCAGTAAATATAGCCCAGAGTGTGAGACTGTAAGAAGGTGTGTGGTGTGTCGCTAGGTTACCTGAGAGATGTGGTTGATGGAGGATTCCATGCGGCGCAGCTGGGACGCCTGAATGTCAAGCATTTGGAGCACATTGTTGGCAAGCGTGTTGATCAGGTAGGCTACGCTGGCCAGGGACTGAGTGGTGTAGTTCTTGGTTTCCTCTAGAGCGACATGCTTGTCTGGAGACTGACGGAGAAACAAAAGAGTAACTGTCAGTGTGCCATTAAATTTGTTCAGCCATTAAAACAGTTTTTAGAGTCAAACTATGCCACTGGAGTACCTGGAGTGATTTGTGCTGGACAATTAGTCTGAAAGTCTTACTTCAGTGGATCTGTGACTGACTTTCAATAAATATTTGTAGCATGCCTCCATTCCTGTGGATTAACTTGAACTGCACTTTGCTGAACAATTGGCAGGAGCTGTTTTCAACATAGTTATCCAAAAAGCTGACAAAGCAAAATTGCTGTTGCAGCTAAAATATTCTTTACTGAATTAATGTTTAATGAAACCAAATCAGAATCACAATGGGACCTTGCAAGTCAGAATTAAGCAAAATCAAATGAAAAAAAAAAAGGATTTGTTCACAAGCTGTAAGCACAATAAAGAGATGCTTCATTGGTGACAAATGGTTTGCAAGTTTCGTTTCTTACAATGATTTAATTTATCTACCTCATCAGGGCTTAAGTGAACTGTCCGGAAGAATTGCAAACAATTCCAGAGCTTTTTGCAAAACCGTTTGATCAATTGCATCAAGTTCCAATTTACGAATTTTGCAATTCTGGTTCTAATTATAAGCAGCTGATAGAAAAAAACACGAGATGACGGCTGAAATATTATCAGGGAAAATGATTTCCAGGTCAGGAAACAGAAATATTACTGATAAACCCGTGGAGATTACTGTGTATACCCAGTGGACACAGTGCCAGTGGTATGTTACTGGGACTCATGCCCCAGTAAAAAGGGTCTAGCGACGCCCCTGGTGTGGAATGTCAGGATCTAAGCAGTTCTTCTGTGACATCAAGCTGCAGTCACATGACCCGGGCTTTGATCCCAAGCCTGACAGAGAGAAAGCGTATACGTGAGTGTGTCTCTGAACAATTCCTGTCTTTGTCCCAGGACGGTACCAGGAGGGAACAGTCACCACACATACTTTTGACTGTGCTCTACATTATAGACCACATATGTATTATATGTAACAGACCACTCGAAGAGAGACCACTGTGGAACCCAAACTACCCCAAACAAGCACACAATTATTAGGTTGACTAATAAAGTGTTTTCAGTGCCAGACAAGAGATCTAGAGAGCAGTGTTGCTAATGCCGTTATATAGGTATATTAGCAAGATTAACCAGCTATTTCACAGTGTAATTTAATGCCATGCCAGCTACCATGGCTAATATAAGGTTGAGAAAATGGTTGAAATGTAAAAATATATATATATAAAAAAAAAATTACAAGATGATTATTTTTGATTTAAATCTAACTAAATCAAATTTTTTCCTGCTCAGTCCTAGAGGAGTTAAAACCATCACAGTCCATTAAAGTATGCTTCAAAGATTGTACAACAGCAATATGATTAGACATAGCCTGACTACGTCAGACTTCGTACTTCCGCTCTATTTCAGTTCGCTTCTGTACTCAGTCTGAGACATCGACATGTCTCTCAGTTTTCCTCCAGCCTGAAAACAGCTGACCAATCAACGAACAGAGGGCGGGCTGAGAGCCGTGACGTAGACGCTAAGCACCGAGTTTAAGGTTGGGGAAATCGAAAACGACCACGGATATGGAGACACGGGATGCAATTCACTCTGTTGTGGAGAATATTCCTGGCATTTACAAACTGAAGGCCGAACAAGAAGAGTGTTTGGTAAACATTTTGAATGGAGGTGATGTCGTGGCCCTACTCCCGACAGGTTTTGGTAAAAGTTTAATTTATCAAATATTACCGATCGTCAGCGAGAAACTGGGGAGGCCAAAGGCCGGCAAGGCGATAGTTGTGATTGTGTCCCCCTTGGTTGCACTCATGGAGGATCAGGTTAAGGAGGCAGCAAAACTCGGTCAGCCATGTTCACTCTGGTATTTCGCTCGAAGGTTTCGTTTTCGAATCATACATGCGTTTACAGTGGAAGTTCGATGCGGCTGAGCTGGCGAATAACACACGTCATAACCAAACGTTATGTGATTTGCTTACGGGTAACCAATGATTTTATACTTCAGACAAGCGAATTTTTTTTTAAAGAGAGCATGATTATCAGCTGATGCCATATCAAAATGGCAGAAATAGAGAAAAGAGCAGACACAAGGAAATTAAAGGATGAAGACAAAGGAGAAATACCAAGAAGAGATTGAGAGAAGATGGAACGACCTGCTTGACACCAGAGGAATAGAAGACAATCCATCAGCCGACATCGACAAGGAATGGGAACAAATCAAAATGGTCATACATGACACAACCGACAAGATCATAGGGAGGTTATCAGGTGGTAAAATACCTGATTGGATTTCTTTGCAAACACTAAAACTCTCTGATGAAAGGAGAGAGTGGAAAGCGAGAAGAAGAGAAAGCAAAGAAACGGTAAAACATTACAACTACCTATGCTGACAAGTTAAAAAGAGTGCAGAATGTACATATGCAAAGCGTTAGAAGAAAGCAGAAAACAAAACAAGAGCCGAGAAGTATATGAAAGTATCAGAAAGCTAAGCAGGAAGAGTACCAACAAAAAGAGTATAATAAAGGATAAAAATGGGACTTTGATAACTGATGCAGAAAAAGTAAAGATACGGTGGAAGCAGTACTTTGAAGATCTGTATAACGATCCAAATCCGGTGGAAGAGAGAATTCTGCCACAGCAGTAAGATCACATCATCAATAATTATGGAAAGAATAAAGAAGAAAACGGCGGGCTTCAGAACATCACGGAGCACAATAGACCAAATATTCACGCTCCGACAATTAGCTGAGAAGTATACTGACTTTAGCAAGGACTTATTTGTATGCTATGTAGACTTCAAAAAGGCATTCGATACCATGTGGAGAGCTGGATAGTGGAATGTGATGAGGAGATTTGGATACCCAGAAAAAGTTGTTAGAATATTAGAGCCTATATAAAAGGTACATTCAGCACCATAAGAATAGGTGTGACACTATGTCACACTATGGTCTGTACGTTCGCTTCGTTTCATTCACTGTCAATGCTTCGCGTTTGGTAATGATGGCTCCGGCTGCTTGTGGAATACGTCTGTATTATTCGAAAATCTTAATGACAAATATGTGTACCAAGGAGTAGGCTAGGCTATATTACATGGAGTTGTGCTATAGGCTAGCAAGGACAGCTAGTTCTTAAGGCTGTCACTGTACGTTTGAAAATCGATTGCACAACCGATCGGACCAACCAACACAAGTTTCGAAAACGAAAATAGGGAATCGATTTTATGTCTCCTTTATGTCTTCATGTGACTGAATGGTTCGAAACAATAGTAGGAGTACTACAGGGCTGCATGGTGTCTCCACTTCTCTTTAATATCTTTTTATAGATGATCATGGCAAGTGTGCTGGAAGAGGCGAAGGAAGGAGCAGTCACAACCTCAGATTCGTGGACGACATTGCAGCTTTCAACAGAATCGTAGAGGAGAGTACAAGGATGGGCATGAAGGTCAACACAGGAAAGACAGAAGTACAACACATTGGACGGGAAAAGACCAAAGTATTCATACAAATAGAGAACCAGGAACTTAAGCAGGTAGAAGAATTTGTGGACTTGGAAGTAGTCTTGAAAGAGTAGTCTTGAAAGTACTTGGAATATTATAATATACTAAGGAAATATTAGTGAGGACGCCTCTACAGAACAAGACCACATAAGAAGAATTGGACAAGTGTGTGGAGCAATGCAAAACTTGAACTCCATATGGAAAAATCTAAAAACATTTCCAGATTTACAAAAATAAGAGTTTATGAAGCCTTGGTACTCAACATACTATTGTATAATTCAGAAACATGGACACTAAGAGAAGCAGACAAGAATAAACAGTGTTTGAAATGAATTGCTTACGGAAAATCCAAGGGGTGACAAGAAGAGACCGAATAAGAAACGTCAACATAAGAGAGTTGGGGATGGAAATTGATGTGGTGAAGCGAATTGAAAAAGAGGCTTGGATACTTTGGACACGTGGTCCGAATTAAAACAAAACGACTTCCAAATGTCGCTCTATTTGGTCACGTTCACGGGACAAGGAGGAGAGGGCGACCAAAGAAAAGATAGTTCAACAACTTGGAAGAGGATCTGGAAAAAATTAGTCTGAACATCGTCGAGTCTTGCAGACTTGCAGCCTCTGACCGAAATGGGGCCATCCTTAAAAATATTCTTGTTTGCCGTAATCGGACCGACCCTGTCAATTTAGGGCCGACCCAATTATTCATTATTATTTTTTCCTTTTAGTCTGACAGACTTACCGGTTGTAAACTTGCGTTAAGACCGACCGATTTTTTTTTACCCTTCAAACAAATAATACAAATGTAATAAAATATTAATTATATTTTAATAAGTATTGAGAATATAAATTGCCTAGGCCTACATATAAACGTAGGCAGCGTTCTTTCTTTTAAATAAAAACCCGTGGCATCATTATGATTATGTTTACACCATTGGTTTACGCATGTCACACTATGGCCTGTACGTTCGCTTCGTTTCATTCACTGTCAATGGTTCGCGCTTGGTAATGATGGCTCCGGCTGCTTGTGAAATACGTCTGTATTATTCGAAATTCTTAATGGTCAAATATGTGTACCAAGGAGTAGGCAAGGCTATATTACATGGAGTTGTGCTATAGGCTAGCAAGGACAGCTAGTTCTTAAGGTGGTTAAGAACTAGCTGCTGGTTGGAGCCTTTTGGCGGAGAAGGAAGCAATAGGGCTGTCACTGTACGTTCGAAAATCGATTGCACAATCGATCGGACCAACCAACACAAGTTTCGAAAACGAAAATAAGGAATCGATTTTAACGGCCTTCTCTCGGAGCGCATCCAGCTCGTCACGCAGGCTGCAGGCTCTGACAAACACGCATAACAGCAAATTATACTTGTGCAGGAGGTTGAGAGGTACCGACTAGAGATAGTGGGGCCTGAGCCATAATTTGGCCAGAGCAATTATGGTCAAAGGGATGTCATGTTAACAGGATTCCTACACATTT